CTTTAAAGAGTTTTCATCACTGGCTCTCACTATCTTTGAGGTGATGCTGACTCATAGAGAGCCTGTAGGACAGGGTAGAACTGCCCTCTCTTGGAGTTTCTGGGACTTTGTTTATAGAAGAAAGCTGTTTTTTCTCCTGTGGAGGGGCTGGTGGTTTTGAACTGCTGACCCAGCGGATCGAAGCCCAATCCATAGCCACTATGCCACCAGCGCTGTAGGACCTAGTCTTAGGTAGCCAACATGTGATCGTTTGGAGTTCTTTATACTCTATGTCCCATCTTCCTGGTGAGTTTCAGTGTAGCCTTACCCAAGAAACAGGCAGCTTTGCAGTGGCCTTAAAGGTAGTTCTCTGGTGCTCAGCAGAGGTGGGAGTATTTAGACATTCGTGAGATGAGCCAGGCCAGTGAAATCATGTTACTTGGAATGATTTACTTTCATGGTGGGCTGTTTCAGAAAAGGGATAACACATATTTTAGACAATATAAAACTCTTTATCCAATAGCTGCCCAGGACTGGAAAAGTTCACCAATTCAGATGTGATGGAACTAGCCTGATAAGGTCTCCAGCATGCTCTCGTTTACTTGATATGACTGAAAGCGTACTGCCATTCATCCGAGCGGCCTTTAAATAACAGACACTGGTTTTTGGCATACCAATCAGGTGCTTTCTATGGGAAACACATCTTGCTCTCAGTTCAGTTCTCTTTTCAAATCCCCAATTCATTTAGAATCATGATGAAATAGCACGTATTCCTAAAGTGTACGATGAAATGTAATTGAAATCTTAAAAAGCTCAAAATGTAAAGGACTTTTTTTGTGTGTGAGGTGTTGGGTAAGGCAACATTTATCAAAACCTTACCAAATGATCATGTTTTGGCCTGAGTTTTCTCCTTGCACCAGCTATAAAAGAAAGCTTTGCTCTACAGTTGATCAACAGATGCACAGGGGTTTGAATAACCTACTTAAAAAGTACAGGCTGTTGTGATCTATTTGAGTGATACCAATTTGGAAATAACAATATACCAATTCAGAGGGCTTATTTAGTACAGCAAGTGCAATTGGATATTTAATTTTCAATGTATTGTTAGTCTAGCTTGGGATTTTATCTACTTGGAAATAATTGCAATGAATTCATTTTAAAATATTCGATATTTCTACCTTGTCAGGCTAAATTACAAACATTTTGCTGTAATTGGTAGGTGGGATGTTTTAGCAAGCCTTTCTCTTTTGCTTCAACCACAGACTGTTCTCCTAAGTGGAAAATGGCTACTGAGGGTGCATAAAGGGTTATAAAGGAATTCAGCAGGAAGACACTATTTATGATCATTTGAAATCTGCCTTTACTGGAACATCCTCAAATTAGGTTTATGAAGGCAATCTGATTTAACAAACTGGTCATTGGACAAAGCAAGGGAAAGTACGGAAAGGGGGCTACACTCTCCCTGATGCCCACCGTCCTTTAGTGGCAACAAACACAGCTGCCCAGGGGCCCAGGTCACTGTGCCAGTTAGCTCTGCAAGAGGACCCTTTCACCAGGGGCAACAGCCCCGCTGTGCTCCTACGGGTGTCACCAGCTTGGTGAGTGGAATCAGACTGCCAATGAATTACTCTGTGGCCAGTCCATTAACATACCAGCTGCTAGGGAATCCGTTCTGACCACCAAAACTCCATGTGGAGTTGTGTGCCCCGTGAGGCTTTTGGAAACTGGATCCCAGGCCTGTCTTCTGAGGCATTCTGGATGGATTCCAACTCCTAACCTTGCAGTTAGCAGCTGAGCAGTGTCACTGTCTGCGAACTTCTGGTCCATCAATAGAAAAGGTACCCAAAATGAAAAGCAGATGGGACTCTGAAAGGTGTATAAGCTTTTGCCTTTCAATTAGCTAAGGATCAACTTACCATTTCCCATCGTAACATGCCACTGGGAGAAATAGCACCTTTTAATTTGAGTGTCTATGTGAGGCACTTCAAGTAGCTAGCTGATGGACGGGGAATTTGGCGGGGTTCATGGGTGTGTGTGGGGTCCCGGGGCACAGTGGTTACGTGGTGGGTTGCTAACTGCAAGATCTGCAGTGCAAAACTCCCAGTTGCTCCTCAGGAGAAAGAAGATGCTTTCTACTCCTGTCAAAAGGTCGTCTCAGAAGCCCACGGGGTAGTTCCGTCCTGTCCTATAGGGTCACCATCAACTTAATGGCAGTGAGTGTGATTTTTATGGGTTTGTATGTCTGTTCCCTGGTTTCTACTTCTCCTTGGGACTTGCCCCAGCCTCTAAAATTCAGAAGTGATGAAATAAAGAACTGCATAGTTTCAGCTTTAGAGTCCAGTCAAAACCTCACTCTTGCTTATTTCTTGCTTTTCTTTGCAACTGGAAATGATTCTCAAGCCATGTGGTGCTGCCAAGTCTCTGGAAAGAATGCAATGTTTTCATTATGTAAAGGAGTAACTTATTAAAGAGAACCCTAGTGGAATTAGTGTAATGAGCTGAAGATCTTTCTAGAGGTTCTTGCTCGCTTGAGAACAGGAAACATTTTTCTCAACAAGGAGGCTTAAAATATCCAATATAGGTACCTTGTTAATAGCATTATTTCCTTCTGCCTAGCTCAATCAGCAGTGGCTGTTTCCATTGATGACAGGGTCTGAGGCCAGCCCTCCTGCTGTAGGTCTCTGTGGGGAAGGCTCCAAGTTTTAAAACAATTCTCAAACTTGTTTAGGAAGTGGGATAATTGGAAGTCAGCGTTTTTTTTTTCCCCCTGAATGACGAAGAACTATATACTGATACAATAAGAAATAAAAATCATATTAAGTAGAATTGTAAACTGATAGACACACTTGCTGGCAATAGCAAACATTTAAGAAACTTTCCTTAAAAGATCATAGGGGAAATTTTTTTAAATTCCACAATAAGTCTATGAAAGGGCTATCATTTTCCACTTTTCCACGTGGAATAGCTAGGCCAGGTTATTGGAGCATCAATATTCCAGTGGAGCAGTTTGGCAGACTCTCGTATAAAACCAAATTGGCTATATAAAGCTTGTCATGGATTGAATTGTGTGCCCCCCACCCCCCAAATATGTCACCCAGGCTGGGCCACAATTCTCAGTGGTTTGGCAGTTACAGGTAATGAGGTAACCATCCACATGATGTAATCTGATGCCATCATTCAATCTACTTTAAGGGGACAGGGTAGGATGCCAACAACCTTACTCAGGTCACAACCAATATAAGGGGAATTTCCTTGAGGTGTGACCTGTGTCACCTTTTATTTTACAAGAGATTAAAAAAAAAAAGTGAAGTGACTAGAGGTGGTACCTAAAAATTACCCAGAAGGAAAAACCAGGAGTGGGGTCCCTTCTTTGGACCCAGGGTCACCGAGAGGATTGGACAATTGATAACATGTATGGAGATTTCCCAGGGATGCTGGGTCCAGATAGGTTGAAGGCAGACAAGGACTGTCCTCTTAAAGCAATGCTCTGAATCTGGAACTCTAGCCACCTGAACCACGAGCTCTGGAGGCATAAAGGGTAACATCTTGGGCTTCTAACTGCAAGGTCACCAGTTGGAAACCACCAGCCGCTCCACAGGAGAAAGAGGAGGCTTTATCATCTTGTCAAGAGTTACAGCCTGGGAAACCCACAGGGGCAGTTTTACCCTGTCCTGTAGGGTTGTTATGAGTCAGAATCGACTCCATGTTGGTGAGTGAGAAACTAGGAGTCAATTTCAGTTTGGTAAAACCATCCACACATGGTATTTCTATTTCAGCAGGATGAAATAACTGAGATAGCACTCCAGTAATAATTACAGTAAAATTAATGATAACACACAATTATGCCCTTGAATGCAGTGTGCAAATATTGACTCTGATGGTTAGCTGAGTCAAGTTATAGGAAAATCTGACACTAGATTAAAAAGGAAAAAAGACTTCATTCATGATTTTGGGAGAAATGACCAACATTTAGATCTAGGGACTGTCACTCTGTGGTCACATCACAGTGAGCGGGAAGCCCACTTGCCAGTGTGTGCTGGTGTCCTGCCTGCTGGATGCTGAGAGAATAGCATCACCACTAATTAAAAGAGTCTAGAACCTAGACTCCAGATGATTACAGAGGCCGGGGCATGAGAACAATATATACTGATACCAGAGGGGCAAGGGCATTTATTGAATTCATCATCACTGGACAGGATAAACACTACATGGAGAAAACCAACATTTATTACAATCAGAGGGCAAATTGTCATTTATAGATTTCTTAGGAACTTGAATTGTGATATTGAACAGAAGTCCCTCAACTTCTTCCTCTTGACACCAAATGGATTGTGAAATACCATCCAGGTTTTTGTTTCTACCTCTTTCCGTGTTTTTCTGAATTACACTTCAGCACGGTAGTGTGTCTGATGTTAGTGAGACACTCACTTTAGAATTAATTTATCTGCATGGGAATATGAGCCACATGGTAATGTCTGGAGTGGCACCATGGTGTAATTTAACTTGATCATTTCTAAGTAGATAGAGTTATTTCCAACTACAAGAGAGACCTCTGAATGTTTGCATTCATTTCTGAAGCTTCAACAGCTTTGAGTACAGACTACACAAATTTTCTCATCTTATTTTATTTAGTCTCTCTACTGGTCTGACTCAAATTAGAGGCTCAAATGAAATTGTGATTCTACTATGTCTTGATTTTGTTGAAGAATTCCCAGTTTTTCTCCTGGTACAGCAGCAACGACAAGGAAGTTAACTGTTACACAGCTGTAGCCAAGCAGCACTAGCATTCTTCCAGGTGGCTATTAATACTAGCCTCCCAGATGGTTGATTATATCTATATTTATATCCAGACTCACTTCATAAGTACATTTCTCAAGCACACGGAGAGCCGATGGAGAAGCAAATATCTCCAAGGGTTCCTATACGATCTATATACGCAGATTGAGGTGATTTGGGGAACTAGTAGGGGGCAGGTAAAAAAACAAAATGAGTTTAAAAAAAAAAGGAAGTTGCACATAGAGTAAATTTTAATCCATTCCATTTTTAAATACCACAATAAATTTAATTTTCACAATAAATTAAATAGCCATATTCAGTTTACAAAATAGAATTACTTAGTGTGAAACCAGTATTTACAGCCATATACACTATGTACATGACATTTCTCTTTGTTGACATGTAACATGGACGGTAAAGGACTAGACTTTCCAATGGGTGAATGACATGCTATCAGCGACGACACCATGGTCCATACAAGAAACAATAGTGCAAAATCCCAGAAACTTTGGAACAATGTCAATTTTACGAGCTAAGACATTCTTTAAATAATAAGAAAATAGTATTTTCATGGTCCCAATTCAGCATTTGAACCGAAGAGCCAGCTTTCCCTTAGGAAAAAAAGATGAGTCAACAGAATCCTCTACTTCCTGCAGCTTCACAGCCATTGGGACATTGTCACACATGAATCTTTTGGCTTAAATCTATGGAAATGGCGCGTGACAATGTCGACGTCAAAGGAAGACTAACTACTGGGGAGTTGCTGAAGCCACTTTCCCCCAGCCCACCACCTCTTTTTTTTGTCAATCGCTTAAAAAGATGCAACTATGCAGAGCACAATTTTGATTTGCGAATTTTCAGTAGAAAAAGGACTGATCTGATATTTGGTCACACACAGTGTATGTACAAGTCTACATGGAAAAATGACTTGGGTAGCCGTGTCTAGGAAAGTGCATATTTCAATCTAGCGGAGACGATGGGATGTCCCAGGCACAACACAGTGTTGTATGATGTATTACCTTAGGGCCAGTTCAAGGTCCTCCCAGTGATCTGGTAAAACTTTTGATTGAATGGGTGAAAGAATTTACGTAATTTGGTAATGACAGAGGGGTCCACCTCTGGATGAATGCGCCCCTTGCTGCCCGCCAGGCACTTATTAAAGATAATGTTAAATCGCAAGCAGTAAAATCCTCTGGTAGCGTTGAAATATAAATTGTATTGACTGATCCTTGGAGGAAGATTGAGAAACTTCTCCACGAGCTGCAGTTCTGGCAGCGGTTCCGTGATGAGGCGATCTCCATCGACGACGTGGAACTGCTCGATTGGGAAATATTTCAACCACCTTTCCAGATGCTTGGTGTAGATGCTGGTTCTGACGGCCTTATACTTGGTGTTCACTTCACAGGTGTTTGGGTCGATCGCCAGCTTCTCAAACTTGTAGTACGTTTTGTTCTTCCTCTCCTTCCCCTCCAGCACCTGAGTGTAATCAGAAATCGCTCTTGTGGTAGGCTCCCTGACGATGATCAACAGCTTGATGGATGAGTTCATTTTGTAAATCCGCTCAGGAACCTCCTCTGTGATGAAATATGCCGGGCTCTTTTCTATTGTGATTTGCTGAGGATAGGACAAAGGCATCTTTTTCCTGTACCACTCGATGCCCTTGGCGTAGTTCTCATCATTGTCAAAGAAGTGGATTTCTTGGGAGGCTTTGACCACGGCGGGATGGAGGTTCAGCATCTCCAGCAGTGCCCTGGTGCCTCCTTTCCTCACCCCAATGATAATGGCCTTGGGGAGCTGCTGGACCAGCTCGTGGAGGCGGACCTGCTCTTGGGATGCGTTGCCTTTCCGAAACTCGTGCAGCAGGCCCCGCTTGAACTGCAGGGCTCTGAGCGGGAAATCAGCCTGGCCACGGGCTCCGAAGCGGCCTTCCACGGGGCAAATGGGCTGCAGCCTGCAAGCAACAGAGAGACAGTTGAAGCAGCTCACTGCAACCGACTTCTTATTTTTCTGGTTCCCCAGTTAGCCCGAGGAAGACTTGCACTGCATAAAGAAAACCAAGAATTCCCAGCCGGGTGCAATACATAATGAACACGTGTTTGGGGAATTTTATTTTATGTGACCCTGCATTAAATGGAACACACATAATTGATGGGATTTTTTTAATTGGTGCCCCTTAAAATTTTTATTCACCAAGCACTTAATTGACTACAGCGTGTACTTATGTTCACAGTACATGATAGACAAGTGACACTGGCCACACTAATGCCTTTCTTAATGGCTCAACAGCCAACACCATTTAGAACACGTGAGAGGCTGAAGCTGGTAATCTTCATCTGGGGGACTAAAGGGCAGCTCGGAGGCCCTGTGTTTTGGGGTTGTATAAGGTGTTGTTTTCTTAGGGTTCTTAGAATTCTCTGAGACATACTCTGGATACAGGTCTCAGGCCCTGCCCTTGGCTATTTGCATCACCAACCTGCCAGGTTCCAGTTTAGCACTCGCCAAGCTTTTCATTCTATGAGAATCCCAGGCAGGTCTCTGAGGCATTGTGGGTTCAGTTCCCGACTACCGTAATAAAGTATCACAATCAAGAGTCACATGCATTTTTGGGTTCCCCAGTCCTTATAAAAGTTATGTCCACACTATCCTACAGCCTATTAAGTGTGAAGTAGCATCATGAAAAAGTTTGCAATATTGTGAAGATTACCAATATGTGGCACAGAGACAAGAAATGAGCTGGAAAATGGGGCCAATAGATTCACTTCACATGGGGTTGCCACATGCCTTCAATTGAATAAAGCGAAGTGTCCTAAAACAAGGGGTGCCTGTACTGTCTTCCCCCTGGATGCAACTCAGAGGGAACCCCTCTTTCCTCTGACTCACTTTTGCTTTCTACCAGAAGAGGTCAGGGCTATGTTTGCCCTGTGCTAAAAGTAGGAGCACACCCAGCTGAAATCAGCAAGAACATACTCAGGGACAGAAAACCTCAGATCCTCATCGACAAGTTCATGCAGGCAATCAGGAATCCTACGGGTGGAGCCAGAAAGGAGGATTTCCACTTCCACATTATGCTAGATCATGAATAGCCACTTCAGCTCTTCTCTGGGCGAACAAGATGAGACGACCAAAATAAGCCAGAACATTTTACCCATTCGGGCACGTGGCAATATGTGCCAGAGTAGAAGTGTACTCGCTAAGGTTTTCAAGGACCGATTTTCAGACATAGATGATCAACCCCCAGACTCACTGTCATCGAGTCGAGGGAGGCTCCTAGTGATCCTGTAGGACAGGGCAGAACTTCCCCTGTGAGGTTCTGAGACTGTAACTCTTCCAGTAGAAATCTCTTTCCTTCGCCCAAGGATCAGGCTGGTGGCTCTGAACTGACCACCCTGTGGGTCACAGCCCAATGCATAAGCAGGACAGTACCAGGGCTCCTTGTAGATGCAGATTACCAAGTCTGCATCCCAAGGCACCTCAGTAGGAACTTGAACCTCAGTTTTTCAGTTAGCAGTCAAATGTATTAACCCTTTATATCATCCAGGCATTCCATCGTAGTAATTAGCCTGGCATGGGTGGCCATCACACAGGGTTAGAAAAGTGAGTTTCCTGTGGGTCTGGCTGAAACTAAACCGAGTTTCACTATAACTTCCCTGAGTTGATTTAGGAAGGCATTTTAGTCCACCTGGTAAAGGAATGCATTAGTCCAAAGTGCTTGTTTTAACCAATCCCTCCGACTGAAGTTTCCAATTATCCTAATAATTTGGATTCTGTGTCCCTCTCTGTGGTAATGAGGCTGTGCTTGCTGTCCCTATGAAATTCCTTTTTGTGCCTTTCATGTCTACTGGAATGTTTTTTATTAAAAGGTGAGGAAAGCAACGCCAAGGTCATTTGGTGGAAGACCGAAAGGACTTGGACGATGCTCTGTCTCAGCTGCTCTAATTATAATACTTCAGGCAAATGTGAACATGTAACTACTTTTCTGGGTGTTTGTTAGTAGTTTGAAAAAGGAGTCATGATCACTGTGGAAAATGTGAAAACTTGAGACAAAAGAAACTGAAAAAGTATTATACTCAGTAACAGAATGTACCAGCATTAAAATTTTACAGAAATGTGAATTTTATTTATCTAAATTATATAGTTGTATTAATATGTCAGAGCTCTAAATGGAAGTGAAAACACCAACAATTTTCTTATTATCAATGCTTAGTCTTAATCAAAGCTATGTTTAACTGTGCTATTGTTTGGGACATCAAACATGTCCTGTCAGCTCTCCTTGGGTTCTGGGTGGGAGGTCAGCCTTAGTTCTGCAGGCACCCACTGAAGGGATTTCTCACCTATGGAGGAAGAATGACAGTAGCTCTCCGCTTTGGAGAATTGAGGAAATAGTTCACTCCTTTTATACAAGACTCTTTCTCTTACTCCTGTAAGAGCCTGGGGGGGTGAAGGGGACAACGACACAGGCACTTTCTGGCCTGTTGGTCCTAGAAGGAGATTTCTCTCTCTCTAGAAAGGGTCATTGTCCTTCCTGAATTCTCTCCCTCTTTCTCCCCTCTACCTGGGGAGCTTACAACCTATAGAACCTTTGCAATTGGGACTCCTTAATGCAAGCAAACCATCCCTGGGAGTGCAGCTGACTAAGGAGGGCTACTCAGTGAAAAGTGGGCGGTTCAGACCTACCAGATGATCTGAGAGAAAGAGGAAGTAAAGATCCTCTATGGGGCAGCTCTACTCTGTTGTCTAGGGCCTCCATGAGTCAGGGAGGAAATATCACATTTTCTACCCACTTCCTGGATTCTGGGCATAGGCCCTGGCCTAAACAACATAAAGGAACCCAGTTTACCCTCCATGAGTAGGTGTTTTGGGTTATGTAAGGATAGGCCTAGGTAAACATTTGTCAGTTTCTAACATAATCTGCTCGAACTCTCAAGGGAGAGATTCTGAGACAGCTACCAGGCCATCCAAAGATCGCCTCGGAGACTCACGGCACAGTTCTACTCTGTCCTCCCGGGTCACTGCAATGACAATAAGGTTTTTCCCCAGTATTAGGTAGTCTATTTTCTACAGAAACATTAGATTGTAGTCTAGAGACAGCTTTAAAAATGAGAAGAGTCATGAACCAAATCGCCCATGCATTAATGACCAGTAGATCAATAACTGGATAAAAAGTAAATGAATGGATGATGGTAATATCAGGAAGAAGGTCATTATGAACACAGGAGGGGGTACCACCTTAAGGTGCTCAGCTTCTGTTTTCCATGGTAACAACAGGGAACTGCAACTCTACTCTAGAACTGGGACCTGAGATGCATCAAAGGAGTTCACTGCGCTGAAATGGATACTGGCTGAAGGAAAACACAGAACATTGCTGCGTCCTTTGTTAAACATACAGGGGCAAAATGTACTAGTTCATTTAAATTATGGGAGAAGGAAAACTGGAGCAAAGTGTGGCTGCATTTTCAGGGACAATGAGAATGGAATCCACGGTGAACCTTCTTATATTTTCCCAGGTGAAAAGTGAATTCTAAAGGGCGAAGAGAGAAGCTTCACATTTGGGGATTTAACTTCTCAGTCCTTTCCAGCTTCCTGGGTGCAAGACGGTCTGAAAGGCATTCAGTGGGAAGCCAGCTACTATTGCTGGACTTCAGTGGGTCCAAGATGTCTCAAAGGTTTGTCTACTTAGAGCCACACTCCGGCTCTGTAAGTTCCTCTCTGTGGATTTTCCATTGCTTTCTGGGCAGTTACTCTGAGTGACAGCCTCCTTGTCTGTACATTCAGCTTCTGAAAACTGGAGCTAATTAACATAGTTAAAACTCCCCAAGCCTGCAGCCATCTTTCCAGGGCAGTGGATTCCAACCTTGATGAGCTCCTTTATAGTCTCATACATAATTTTAACTCTCCTGGTAGCACATTAATTGTCCACTTGTAAATTTCAAAATGCAGACATATAGCTATATCACCGCTGTTCCGCTATGGCAGAGGTCAACTTCAGAAGCATGCAGATCGCACTGAGCTCGGGGAATGGCATTTTTCCTGTACACGGCTTTATCCCTTTTCTGAAAACAAGTGCCAGTGCACACAGAATACGAATGGATCTTGACAAACACCTGGGTTGGAGCAACTGGGATCTCTTTCTTCTAAAGGCCCAATAAATGAAAATCAATACTACAGAAAAGCACATTTCTCAGGAATTTTCAGGAAGGAAAGCAAAAAGGTCAATCTAAAATTACATTGACAGGGGTTTCGGATCACGAAACAACTCACATTGTATGGACATAAACATGTGTTTATCACATACCTATCCAAGCTCCCAACTCTGGCGACTAGATACAGGAGGCTCCCAACAGCAAGGCTTCCCAGCACAAGGAGCTTCTGTCTCAGCCACGCCTGCTGTTTGAATAGCATGGCCCTCCATTAATCTTCAGGACTTCTGCAGCCTGCGAGACAGGACATAAGAGGGCCTATCATCAGTCATCTCTTCTAGACACTGTTGATTGTCACAAAGCCAACCAGTGATAGAATACAAGCATTGAGTCGTGCCACATGAGGACATGGCCCCTACCAAACTTGACAACTTTCATAGGGTAGCGGGCACTTAGCATAACATACCCTCCCCTTCCTGGCCCATGTTGTAGGATCAAATATTAAACCTAAGGGTGAGTTACTAACTAGACAAAATCTCTTAGACAACTGTAAAAGGAAATTAAACACACGCATATTATGAGATTATGTTACAAAGTATAGATGCCATAATTATATATTACATATATGCCATAATACATGCATTTCATTTACTTTCATGTATGATAGAGAGTTCAAAAATTGGTGGACAAATTTCATTAACTTTTAAATCTATTTTTCTGTGATCTTATGGAAGTCATCTCATACACACTTAAATACACACACACACACACACACACACACACGTTAGTCAAAATTTTACTACTGAGGTTCCAATTCATACACCACAGGTTTATTCCAAACAAAACAAGTTTAAAGCTGTTTCTGCAATCAATGTATGTAGTTCGCTCAGTCATAGACTTTATTTTAATCTCACTGGGTGACATGAAAAAGAACAAGAGCCCAATCAAAACAGTGGCTTCTGAGAGGTCAGGTCAGAAGGTCATGGCATATATAGACACACTGGTATTTGGACTCCAAAGAGCTACATTTGACTGACACAGGATGATCATGGGAGCTTATTATGACGAAGAAGACAACTGAACACTGCATCGGTGAGAAAAAGGCCAGCACGGTTGTGTGTGCGGCAGGGGACAGGGAGGACATTTTTTCCAGCAGAAGACACACGTTCAATTTTCGAAAGAAGCTGAGGCTATCCTAGGACAACTGTCTTTGGGAACCTTATTCCATCTATCCAGCAGGCCTGATTTTCACCCCTCAGACTCCTTTTTGCTCTCAATACTCACAGAACATTGCAAAGGGATGTGATTGAGCATCTCAAGGATGTCCGAACTGCCATTTTGACATGGTGTAAATAGAAGAGGGTAGAATTCTTTGCAGGGAAGGATTAGACAGATGAGGAGCCTGCTTTCAGAAGTGTAGTGTCTTAGATGGAGGATAAATAAGCAATAGCTCCATATGTTGATATTTTTAATACCGGGTCCTATGATTTTGTAGCAACACTTTCTGACTAACTCTTCTGTGTCTGTGATGGGGCTTCAGAAAAGTTCGTGGAAAAATGGAATCAAGAGATAATGGCGTTATCCCATGAACCTTCTTCTGCCCATAAACCTATATATCTGTAATCATTCAGTGAGAAAGAATACAGGTCAAATGAGCAGCTTGAGGTTTACCTGCTGTGTTTTTAATGAATTGAAAACTCCTTCAAAAGAACGGAAGAAAGCAGACACTCAAAGCTCAGTTCAGTAAATTACCATTTGGGGCAAAACAATGTCAAGATTTAGTTATGCTGCTTTTGTTGGTTTTGATGTAACTAAATAGAGAAAGCTAGGGAACAAAGCTTCCTTTACTGAGGTGATTAATGGTAATAGCCAGGACCCCACATGCTCTGAGGCCAGTGGTTCAAAGGAAAGTGGAGGTTTCCTTTACCTTCCTGCCCACTCTGGCTGGTGGAAACGTGCCCAGACAAGATGCCCTTGGCATGTGGCTCCTCCTGGGTCTCAATGAATTTGACTATGTTTGGGGACTTCCAGCCTTCCTCTTCTATTGTTGAAAGAACCTCCCTTTGAAGTGTTACACTTTTATACCTGAAATAAGGCCAGCTGAGGAGTGCAAATCTTCACTAGTGTGCTTATTGAATTTGGGGGGAAATTGCAAGCACCTACTTTCAGCCTTTATTATTAAAAATAAATCCAATACCCTTCCCCCCTTTCAAGATAACATCGTTTGCTTCTTACTGAAACCCAGGAATATTAACTCTCAAGAAGAAGGAAACTACAGCTATCAATTGTGGTTAGAAATTATTTTACTGCAATGATAACTCCATGTTTGCTTTGTGAAGACCTTTCTCTGCAAAAATAGATACTAGGATTGATTGATTGATTGATTCATTTTCCCATCAAGAATTGCCTGAGCACCAGTAGCTTTCCCAGCAGTGTTGTCTTAATCAATGTTCTCTACTTGATCCCTAGGTTCTAATATCCATTGCAATAGTGACACAGAACTCACAGACAACATTCACGATGAAAGGGGTCTGTTTATTAAGGAAGTGAACAAATTGTAATACCAGTGAGAAATGTTTATTTGTGTTTTATGGACTAAGCCTAGGCATTTGACTATGTGGATCATAATAAACCAAGGACAGCCTTGGGGAAAGTGGGAATTCCAGAACACTTCATTGTGCTCTGATGAAACTTGTATTTGAATCAAGAGGTGGCTGTGTGAATAGAACAAGGGAATATATTACAAGGTTTACGATGAGAAAAGATAGGCATTACAGTTGTGTCCTCTCACCATGCTTGTTCACCCTATGTGCTGAGGAAATCATCAGAGATGCTGCATTACATGATGAGAAGGGCACCATTAAGGATTGGAGAAAGGTCTATTGTCAATCTGCGATAGGAAGATGATGCAAACTTGTGTGCTGAAAATGGGGAAGACTTGAAGCCCTTGCTGATAAAAATCAAGAATTAGAGCTGTTGGCATGGATTACAACTCAATGAAAAGAAGATCAACATCCTCACAAGACCTCATCCTCTAATAGCTAACATCATGATAAACAGAGACAAGTTTAACGTTGTCAAGGATTTGGTCTTACTTGGATCCACAATCAATGCTCATGGAAGCAGCAGTCAAGAGATCAGAAGACACATTGCATTGGGTGAATCTGCTCCACAAGAGCTCTTTGAAGTGAAAAGCAAGAGATTGCTTTGAGGACTGAATGTGCACCTGACCCAAGCCGTGGTATTTTCAATGGCCTCCCACGCAGGTGCAAACTGGACATTGAGTAAGGAAGACAGTAGAAGAACAGATGCATCCGAATTGTGGTGCTGGAGGGCACTGGAAGAGCCACGGACACTAGAAGGACAAACCCAGCTGTCTTGGAAGAAGTGCAGCCAGAGCGCTGCTGAGAGGCAAGGACAGCGAGACTTCGGCTGCCAAACTTTGGACAGGTTGCCAGGAGACACCAGTCCTTGGAGAAGGACATCATGCTTGTTAGCATGGAAGCGCACCCAAAACAAGAAAGGCCCTCAGGGGAAGGACTGACACAGTGGCTGCAACAATGGGCTCACACCTGAACAGCTGTGAGGAGGGCACACGACGGCCCGTGTTTAGTGTGCTGTGCACAGGGTCACGATGGCACCTAGCAAGCTCACCATCTTGTATGTAGGCAAAATGGGAAAGGGAGAAGAGAGAGAAAATAAGCTTTATTGAGCACCCAATACATGGCAAGGACACAGGGCCAGGTATTTTTTCAGGAAATTGTGAGAAAAACTGTATGATGTAGATAAGAGGGGCC